TTACCTGGTCGACCATGGTATTGATTGTATTTTTTAAATCCAACATTTCACCCTTCACTTCTACCTTGACCTTCTTTGTGAGATCACCACGAGCAACAGCTTTTGAGACATGTGCAATATCACGAACTTGGTTTGTGAGATTATCGGCCATGGTATTGACATTGTCTGTGAGTTCTTTCCAAATACCATTTATGCCTGCAACTTTGGCTTGTACGCCTAGTTTTCCTTCTGTGCCTACTTCATGAGCAACACGAGTGACTTCAGAAGCAAATAAGTTAAGGTGGTTGACTAGAACATGTTTGTTTAGAAATGTGGGAATCCTGTGTGTATACATATTCATATATATATATATATATATGTACCCATGAGATTAAATGTATTCTTCAACATCAATGTTTCTCCTCGAACAGGTACAGTCATTGCTTTACTAAGATCACCTCGTGCAATAGCAGTAGATACATCAGCAATATCTCTAACTTGTTCCAAGTGATTTCTGGTCATGCTATTCAAGTTTAGAATGAATTCACGCCAAACGCCCTGTATCGAATCGTCACATTCAGCTTGAACGCCTAATTTGCCGTCAATAGCTGTCTCATAAGCTACTTTTAGTACATTGTTGGTAAAGAGTTGAAGCTGCTCTGCCATGGAGTTGATGGCATCATTGAGTGGATGAGTATGTAAATGGCAATGAATGCGTTGATCTAACTGACCCTGAGTGATAGCTAATGCGACATTGACTGCTTGTTGAACACAGTGTTGACAATGGTTGGGCTCTATATGATGGTTTCAACATATGTGTGTGTGTGTTTGTATATATGTATTTAATAAATTACCAGGCACTATGTGTGTATTTACAGTATATTTATTAATATTATGATTATGAACATTATGGTCATGCTTGATGTCTATTGTGTCCTGGTATCTTTTTATATCTTTTTCCAATCTTAATTGACGTGAGGCTATGCTTTTTATTGTGTTTAATAAGGTATCATCTGTATGATTATGATCTTGCTCGATTGCTAATAGACAATCACTATAATTTCCCTTATCAATGCTGACGAGTAGTCTCTCTATGTCTTTTAAATCCATTTCTGCTGAAAGGCAAACCTTTTTATTCTTTGAAAAGTCTTGTTTTGTAGATCGTTTCATTCACACAAGAACATCCACTTTTCACTCAATTTTTAAAAAAAAAAGCTTCGAAAGAACAAAATGGAACTCTGAGGGAGAAAAATGGAAGAGAAAAAGGATGGAAAAGGCAAAACCAAAACCAAAAGACGACGATTTGCGGGGAATAAAAGTGTAGGACAATGCTTGATTGGTTCATTTGCTCACGATTTGACCTTGCTTACTATTATTTTATAAAACAGTTGATAAATCGGTGGTCTCGATGTTTGTGTGACATGTTACACCAAGTTGATCCCTCTTTGTTTGTCAAGGATTATTGTCTTCATAGCAATGGATCTTACTATGCGAGTTAGTTTGATCGATAAACTCCGAAAGATACTATACCAGACATGGTAATTATAAAGCCTATTATTTAAGGGGATAAGGTCATGAGCTAGGGAGTACAAGCACAAATTAAAAACAATATGCCATGTCGGCAATGACAGAGGCAGTAAACCCAATTTCCAAAAAAAGCCATGAGCATATCTGTGAAATTTATAAAGCGACTTTATACATAATATGATATTTTGCACCAAAAAGATAATGTATTAGTTCTCGTAGCGGCTGACCATTTTTACAGCCGCTGTAATGTCGTTAATGATCAAAGATCTTCTACATACATCACTTGCACAATGTGTCATCGTACGATTGACTATGAACCATTTGCTACGCAGAATGATGGACCAAAGAATGTTGAGATCAGGATATTTGAAAAGGTTCTAAATACATTAGCCACTGCCAAGCAGTTGAGAATTCAAGTTTGTCGCAGCGCAGAGATCGATCCCATATGATATGAAAAAGACCCAAGCATCACCTTTAAAAAAAACACACACACAAACAAATTTTCATTGAGATGCATCGGGGGCTACACCCTGGAGTAAGTTGGGTGATAGTCCTATAATTGCTGCCGGGGCGGATGCTTTAGAAATTTGAAACTTTATATAAAGCAACACTCTATGAAGTTTTGCAGGACTGGTGCAACCTGATGATGGAAAAACGCCCAATTTAATAACATGTATGCACAGGGATGCACCTCCCGTGTCTGTCCGCAGACGGAAAAGCTATCAACATGGGACTTTAGACCTTTTTTATTGGTTTTCATTGCATAAACAAATCACACAAAAGCTATTTATGTTTACAAAGTAAACATGGAGTGTACCCTTTGTTTTAGAGGACATAGGTCTTTATGATAGCATATATCGTCTATACACAAGACAAAATAGTGTTAGCAGCGAAAATAAAATGATAGTAAAGTTAAATAAATGAGTTTATCTTGGTCGAAAGATCTCGGGCCTGTTATTGTTGTTGTATGCCATATGAAGAAAGGCGTTGCGAATGTTGATGCTTACCATATGATCACGATTCCATAGAATATTACAAGCTTGGTATTTGAATACTGAGTGAATTTTGTGTTCATAATCATCTAGCTGGTTAATAGTTGAACGAGTTTGATAATGAGGACAAATATGGTTTGTAAAGTACTCATCTACCATCACCACATATTTTGGGCCATGTACATCATTTCTTTGGAGAGTTTGCTTATGTTGTTTGATGCGTTGAAGGGAGCGGTTCGAAACAATTTGCTTGGAGCAGACATATTGTCACGAAGGTTACTGAAACGAGCAGCGTCAAATGCCACTATCACTAGCCTTGTTTTTTCATCTTGCTTGTCACTGGGCGACAATGGCCTCCACTTCTCCGGATTACGTTGAGAGATTTCAGGGGAACTCCCTGGCCTGTACTTGTAGCTACCAGATAACAGACGCTTATGCGTTTCATTGAGTGCTTTTTGTTTCTTTCTGTAACTTCGAAATTGGAGCTTTCTTTGGATAATTGTGTAGTAAGCACTCATGCCAGCAAAGTTTCGAAATATATTGTAGGGATTCACTGAATTGCAAGGCCACTAGCCTTTGTTGATGATATTTTAACAATGAGAGTGCGTGCAGCTTGATGGGTTCTGTCGTACTTGGCTCTCTTGATGTTGGCGGACTTGTAACCAGTCATCTGGTAATATTCTGAGGTAGAAGTCCTGCGAATTCTATGTCTTTGTCTCTGTTCACTTTTAGAAATACCATCACCATCAGAAGCCATAAAGGTCTCACGCACACCAGGACTAACATTCCATACAACTGCTGTTTCAGATCAATCTCTCTAGCAACATCAGCAGGAGTCAAAGGTTTTACACCAGCACCAGCAGGTCGATCACAGATGAACTCTAGAGCGACACCATCAGAGCGAATGGTGCCAGTAAAGCCTTTTCTGCCATTATTTTCGGCAAGCTGGTAGACGTCTTAGAAACCAAATCTCTTCATGCTGAAGAGTCTGCAGCATAAAGCGTTCATACTGTCGCCGAGCCTTGTTGCTTACACAATTCGTGTGTCCCTGATCATCCTGCTTAAGCCTGTTAAATTGACTGTTATAAATTGCATCCGGAGACTGTGGATTGGAAGCAGGTTAAAAAGACGGGAGCCACGAGGATTGGTATACTTAAGTGGTTGAAATTGACGATTGACTATGAGAGTTCTTGTACGAGTCACAAATTCGTCAATTGCAACCTTTTCTTCCTGAAGTAGAGCATTTGTTTTGTTTGCCTGAGTTGGATCGCATGCTCTGCTACGCCGCTGGGCGGTATTTTGAAACGTACGGTTGGCAGATGGTTTAGCCAGGCCCTTAGAATCTGTTGCTTCTCTAATATGTCATTCTAGAGTTTGTTGAAATCTCCTGGGAAGCCTCCTGGAATCAACCAGTGGTTGAATTTCACTTCCTGAAGTTATTATATGTGTGTTATATTAGAGAAAAAAAAAAAAAAAGAAATGTCTTAAAATGGTGACCACTACACGCATGAGGGAATTCACGAGAAGGCTACTGCTACAGGCGCTTCCTCGTGGCGCTACCTATGCTGTCATTACTAAGTTTCACACTACCAAAGTCGCTACCTAACCTAAGGCTATCCATTGATATAAAATACGAATTTATCATAATTACACTTGAATGATCTTTATTCTTTGTTGATCAAATTGACAACCGAGTTGAGGTGCCAATAGTGGCACACTTGTTGAGCCCTTTTTGTACAAAAATGAATGTTTAATCTCAGACAAGAGTAGTAAAGGCTTAGTTAAACAGGATTGATTAGCTGATCTGTTTAAAGGGAAATTTTTTTATTTAAAATAAGCTTGTATATTACACATATAAGTATGTATACGATTGATCTTGTTGTTATTTACATAAAGAGAAGTTGACATGTATTATGAATCCCAAGGTCTCCAACTCTTTCTTCTTTCTTCAGACAATCTCTTTTCTTCATCACAATTTTGGACATATTCTGCTGCAAGTGCTAGTATATCAATCGGTCTCATTTGAGGAGGTATTTGTGAATAAAGAGTGGTTGGCGTTGATGCTATAGATGAGGTTACACTGGATTGACTGCTGTTGCTGCTATTGCTGGTACTACTAGTACTGCTATTATTACCACTTGTTGTAGGTGTTGCTTGATAGTGTTCTTTAGAATAATTGGATGACCAATGAAAGAAATATTCTTTCTCTTGAGCCTTCTTACGATTTAATTTGGCTCGTCTATTTTGAAACCAAACCTTATTTGATAAAGAAAAAAGTCATTATTATAAAGTTTTTGGCTTTACATTCTTTGTATATTACCTGAACTTCACGGTTTGTCATGTTTAATTCTCTTGCTGTCATTTCTCTTAATTGATAGTTAGGTGTCTTTATACGTTCAAATATGCTTGTTAACACTTCAAGTTGACTTGGTGTAATTCTTTTTCTTTTAGGTCGATTGTTTGCTATATGAATCATAATATGATTAATCATTCAAACAGGTAATGACTATCTTTTACCTTCATGGGACTTAATCTTTAGCTTTTGTTGATTGGAATAACCCATATGTTTTTTGTGTATATATAAAAAAAAAAGATAAAAGAAGAAAGAAAGGATAAATGAAATTAATGATTTTTTAATAATAAAGACAAATAAGGGTCGGATCCATCTTTCCGAAAATCAAGTGTATAAATATATATATAACACTTTCTATTTACATGCACTTTTTATTATTATTGTAATAATAATACTATCTGATAAGTACTCTTTTTTGCTTATTCTGTGATCTACTCCCTCTCTCTTTACTCTATTCTTTTTATTATCATTTAATTAATCGGAACGGGACTACCTTATTTGTGCATATTCGCACTTGTTCTCACTGTTTTTATAAAATCCTGAAGATAACATATTTATAGGGTCATTGTTTATATCTTTATCTTTTTTTGGTATTAGAATAATAGTGCATATACAAATAACTTTCATTATAAATTTTGCATACATAACTAATTCTGCTTTTTAAGGATATTTTTGTTTCAAAAGTCGTGGATGATTTTGACAGATGAGTCTAGTTTGTTAAACATTGTATACACTCAGATCCTATATATATAACTACAATAATAAAGAATGACCTTTCTTTCTTCAATTTAATTTGTATAGATGCGTTATTTCAAGAAAAGCTTATTTTTCACTTCTCTTTATGAAATCAATCTGTTTATAGTTTTATGCTTATTGTTTACTCTATTTAATGGAAAGTAAAATGTGAATGTTGCAGTTTAATTGGATCAACATTTTTATTTATTTCATATTACAAAAGAATACCCCCTGTTGGTATATTGTATGTATCCTGAACGTTCAACTTTAAGCATGAGCTTCTCGTCAGGTCTTTTTTGCGTACTCTGTAGAGATATACGCGTCTTTTAATATAGTCTACTTATATCACTTTATCTTGATAATAAGCTATAATCACTCTTCTTTCTCTCTTCTTCATCCTAGATTTGGATAGATTTGCTGCAACTCAATATACTGCGTTCATGAATCATTCGACGCTTCAGTACTATACTTTACATTTCACGTAATAAGTTATTCCCCAATATTTCGTGTAATGAGCTGTTTCATCAATGTTTCATCAAAAATTCTTGGCTTTCTTTACCTCTGCCTTTTGTCTCTCTCTTTTTTGCCCTTGTGTCTTGAGGGATTATTTATCCCTTGTTGCCCAAGCAATTTAATTTTTTTTATCCAATGGTGCACCTGCAAGAAAGTCCGTTCACTCCAGGTGTCACTGGGAACATTACACAAACACGGAATTTATTTTAAGTGAGCATAGAATGCCACAATTCAGGGACTGATGTAGTAAAGAATCCTTTAATAGCTAGAGCAATTTGAATCAATCATTCAAAAAATCCATCAACATTTAGCCATGTCCATAATTCACCTATGAGCGAGTAAATACGCGATACAAAAAACAAGTTCGTTATACATAGATGAGGTTACAGCAAATAAATCATGAGTTTTTTTTGTCCAAGGCAAAGAAGAATACGCTCAAGTCAAAAGGTATGACGCTTCCCTTTTTTGTTTCCTGGTGAACGCATAAGGGGTGCGAAATACATATGCTGGTTTCCCACATATGACACTACAACATTAGAAAAGTGGAGATATGAGAAAAGCATCTGCTAATAACAAAAACATTAAGAGCGCCTATATCTTATCAATTAAGAACACATCTGTCAAGTTTGTTCTCGGTCAAATGAACGATAGTAAAAACAAGTAAACTGCCACTTTTATATAGTTTACTCTTGTTTTCTTTCTCTTTCTTTTTTGCTTTTTCTATTTTTCTATTCAAAGAGGTTGGTTGTACTATAAATATCCAAGTGAAATGCGACAAGGAAAACCTTTCGTTTCGCGCAGTCCGCATCGACCACATATATCCACAAATGTACACGAACCACCCCATATTATGCGGATTATTTTGTGCAATGTTTCCTCGTCATGGAGTACACAGTTTATGTCCACTGCTCTTTATGCAACAGAAAGCGTACAAGCCATCTTTCATTCGATCATCTGAACTAAATGTATGTAAAACATATGGAAAAGGGTATCTACTCAATCAATTTCCCTTGTACAAGCACTCATTGTGTTGTAGAAAGAAAGTTGAGAGTGATGAAAGATGAAGGTTGGAAAAAGTATAAAAAGATGAGGTTATTTCGAGAATTTTGTAAAGTATCTTCATCAATTAAATCTATTCAAATGCGTTCTTCTCTCTTGGCTCTCGCTCTTGCTCTCGTTGCTTCCGGTATATAAATTAAAGCGTGTGGCCATTGTGATGTTGCTAACATAATAATTCACTAGCAAATGCTGCTTCCTTCAACAAGCGTGCTGTAACACCTGCTGTTCAAACCTGTGTTAAGGATTTGACTGCAGCTCAAAACCAACTCACAATTGTTGCTACTGCTGTAAGTCGAGCATAATATGTAATGATCCTATTTTATAACACTGTTCTAGGTCAATGGTTTCACCTCCTCATCTGGTTATGCAGGTGCCTTATCCGTTCACAGCAAGGAACAAGCCCTCGAAAACTTGATCAAGCAGGCCAACACTGACTGCTGTGCAGTCACCACAGTCGTTTCTACTGAAGATGCCAATGCTGTTCTTGCTGTCGTCCAAACGCTTGTCCCTGATATCGAAAATGCTCTCGGTGCCATTGTTACCAAGAAGTCTCAATTCGATGCTGTTCCTCTTGCCACTGGTATTGTCAAGAGCGACATCAAGAACCTTCAAGCCAAGGTCACTACCTTGGATAACTGTATCCTTGCTGTTACTCCCTCTGACTTCACTACTGTTGCTAATGAATACGTTGGTAGAATTAACACTGCCTTCTCCAAAGCTGATACCGCTTATGGTATCTAAATGAGCTATTATTCTTTAGTTCGTGATCCTATCCCTTAAATAATAAACTTTACAGTTGTCCCAGAACATGTACTTTTTTTTATTGTAAATGCTGCTCTCAAAGAACGTTCGAATTGCGTAGCAATATAACGGCTCCATATGAAGCCTCATGATCTTTTGTAGTGGTACGCTTTTAACTGCTGTATCGCTGATTCGCGGTGTTGCTTATTCACGCGTTTTGCCCTCGTCCGTGTTTGTGTTTACTGTATGTAAATATCGTGTTACTTTTTTTTGTTCCCATGAGCAAAATCTCTGTACTAATAGGTACTTTAAACACTACATGAACAAGCTTGCGCAACTGATGTGGTCATTTATGGCCATAAATGGCGGGGAATGCTACGTGCGCTCCGTTTTTACTAGAGACATAACCATTTTTGTATATGACTTTGGTTTACTTAATGAAGCTCCTCAATATTAAGCTTTATTGTTTAACTGGTTTGCATGATGAGCATATAACAGATTTAAAAGCTCAGCTAATGATATAAAAATAACAGACTTAACACACACTATCACTCTAACATCACATGAATTGACTGCTTTTTTAATGCTTTTTTTCCGAATCGAACATCGAGCCTGCGCGACAAACACTTGGTTCCTGAAAGTGCATGAGCTTTCTTTCCTTTCTTTTCGAATATAAACATTTCCCTTTTCTCATCGCATTAAGCGTTTCTTTTCTTTACTCATCGTATAAACATTTTGAACTAATTTGGTACGAATAATGTTTCTTTTGATTCGAATATGTCTGCTAACATTGTCGCTCATTAGAACAATGGAAAACAATACTTCTAGAACAACTATATGCTCCTCCTGTGTTGCGACATTGCCAGCAGATTCACGCTATCGCACCTGCCAAGCGTTTAGAGAAAGAGTTGCAACATCATGACGCAGACTTTGAGCTGAACAAGAAGAGCAGGAAGGCAGCCCAGTAAGACGTAGGGGAAGGCCTAGAGTAGAACCTTCTCAGATCATTCCTGCTGCTTATATCTCGCAGCTTTCTCGCCTTCGCCCTTTGAACCTTGGACGTATGGACAAGGAATGCTCACACTGCCACGCCTTGCACTGGATCGATGAAAGGCAAGAGACATCTTCGATGAGAAATCCCAGCTGGGAGTTATGCTGCAAGCAGGGATCAGTCCAGTTGCAACTCTTACCTGATCCATCTGAGTACTTGAAGGACTTGCTCGAATGTACGGACAGCCAAGGCCGTCACTTTAAGGACAACCTTTGTCAATATAACGCTGCCTTTGCATTTACCTCTTTGGAGTGCGACATTGTCTCAGCTGAGGAGCGTAATGCCAACAACAGCAGAGGTGGACTTAACGCATTCCAGATCCATGATGCTCTTTGCCACCTCCAGGGGACACTAATTCCTTATGATGGCAGCGAACCATCCTATGCTCAACTCTACATATATGATCCATCTTACGCTACACAAAAGAAGATCCGAAAGAAACGAAAATCTTAATTCCGAGATCATAACGGAGCTATCTACTATGCTTTCTCATCAGCCCTTTTTCACGTATATATCGCCATGCACATGAGATTCTAAGCAGAAACGAGAATACAAGTACGGACGGAGATTTGAGCAACAACGCCAATGACCACAATGAAAGCAACTCGCCTTACATTATCATCAGTCCTTCAATGAGAATGGGGTTAATCGAAGGGAGTGACAGACGTACTCATAACCTTCCCACAACGGAGGAAGTTGCTGTTGTCATACCAATTGAGTATAGCGATCGAAGCTTCAGAGATATTATACTTACCTTAAGAAGAAGAGATCGTAATGACAATTAAAAATATATTTCGTTCATGCAGCAAGTAATATACATTCCATTATAGCTATAGCATTATCACGCCATTTAATTACTTGATAGACAACAAAATCAAGCTTTGGTCTCTCTCTTACCAAGACGAGGTACTCCATTTTTGGAGAGAAGGTATGCTCAACATTGAGCCAAAGTTTGAAGATAAAGAAATGTATCAACAAGATGCAATTAATTTTTATTGGACTTTCAAAGCATATACATTATATAACAATTTGAAAACAAAAAGTTCTTACTAATATGTATATCTATTTCTAGTGCAAGTTAGAGGAAACCTTGGATACCATTAAGAAGATCCAAAGTTCTCATAAAGACAATAGAAAGAAGAGTAGGTATAATTCTGAAGAAACACCCAGATTGTTATCAGAAATCATCAATCCCAGCATTATCAAATTGACCGAAAATGACCATAAGAAAGGTATGACGGATTTGGGGCCATTTGATTCACCTGAACATGATTAAATATTAATCTGTTGACACTCCTAGTAGACATAATATAAAAATAAATTTGTTTTTCCTTATTCATTTATAACGAATTTAAATACGTCTATTGAAAGCTGAACTCCAAACGACCATTTTAAAGATTTCTTTCCTCATCCAAACACTTCTGGAAAAAGACATTGAATGCTTAATCCATCCTTCACAATCTTTTTTTGTTACTTTTCCAGCCGATTCACATATACGATCTGTAAGACGATCATCTACCGTCAATGGTGTTCTTCTAACACCAGCTTACTTTTGACCAAAATTTCTTGATTAGATTCAAGGAAGGAGAATATGGTGGCAAATATATGTATTTATGTTCTCGTTCTTCGATTAATGCTTTGATTACTTTTGGCTTGTGAATAGGTGCATTATTCATAGCAATATACTAGTCCTTTATATTATTTTTATCTAGTGTATTCATTACGTTGGTTAGGTAGGCCAAAAACTGCTCAGTTCTTGTTCTAGCTTTACCATTTATTTTTACTTCCTTACCATCTGCCTTTCTTTTTTTTTTTAGAAACTGATCCTGGTTTTTTAACTCCAATATTTATGATACCTTTCCAGTTGGTACAGTGCTCTTTGTAGGTGTGCCTTTTAATGAACGACCGTG